AATTTTTTTTTCTATATATTTTTAGTTGTCCGATTAATTTCTTTTTTTTTTTGGTAGAGACGGGGTCTTGCTCTTGCTCAGCCTGGTCTCGAACTCCCGAGCTCAAACAATCCACCCACCTCAGCCTCCCAGAGTGCTAGAATTACAAGTGTGAGCCACCGCGCCTGGCCTACAGGCATTTTCTACTGATCGATAGGGACGTGAGATCATAGCAAGCTCAGAGACCTGTGGTTTTTGAGGGGCCTTCAGAGCTGATGCAACCTCTTCAAAGGCTAAACAGCAGCATTCTGGGTTTCTGTGAGTACTGTACCTTCACAATGTGGGAATCCAATGTGTGACAAAATCTGTTTCAAGGTCAATTTTTTACTCTTAAGCCCATACAGGTGAAGCCATTTCTCCGATGAAATGAGACTTTGTTCAGCCAAGTCTGCTTTGGTGCTGCTCAGACCCTCCTGCCTCTGCAGCTGCTGCTCAGAGATGGTAGATGAGCCTGATTTCTCCATCTCAGAATCAGGATCTAAGTCACAGAGACCCCCTGCAAGGACAATTGTCAAACTCAGACTTCCTGAAAACTTGGAAATAATCTTACATCAATAGAGGATTGGCTTAATATAAACTATGGTATATCCATGAAGTGGAATTCTATTTATCCATTAAAATTATAATACATATGTATACTTGTTGGAAAAGGAGATAACCACATGTATTGCTAAGAGGTATCAAAAAAATTCAATATCCACATGTATAGACACACAGATATACAGAAAAACATCTAGAAAGATGCACACTAACAGGTTTACTGTAGTTTTCTCTTTGTAGTTGAAATATGTGTGGTGTTTGCCTTTTCCATATTGTTTAGATTTTTGCATTATTTAAACATTTCTAAAATAGGATTTACTTCCATAATCAGAAAAATACAAAGCTCTTCCATTTTGGAAAAATAAACACCCTACTCAGAACCTTCACTACATATCTGTATTTTAATTACAATCACATTTAACATTTTGCTTCCAACGAGGATAAAGAGGATAAAACTGGAGAGGAAATATACTTGTTCTACAGTTGCAGTAGCTAACTGGGAGCTGGTGGCAGGGTGGGAACACATGTACCCACTTTCTGAATGTTTTACTTTCTGGGACCTTGCTCTAATATTGGACTTCAACATTCTGGTTCATGTAGCCAGCTATTCTGGGAGCCACTGGACTCCAGGCAATATGAAACATATCAGGCTTACTAGACCTTCCTAAATATAGTTAGTGTACACAAGAGGAAAGGAGTGGCTAAACTGTAATGCAATCCTAACCCACTCACCGCACTTGGGCAAGGCCTGGCAACTTGGAGGAAGTGTAGAAAGCTCTGCTTACATCTGTCTCCAGAGTGTGCAATGCATGTAAATTGATCCCCGGAACTTTAAAACTTTTTAACAATGAAAAAACTCCCTTTCCCCATTTCAAAAACTCTAACTGTATTTCCTGAAAGTCTCAGTGTTATGACATAGAAATTCAGTCAAACACAAAAATCAGTTGGACTCAAGCTAGGGAGGCTTTGTGAAAAGAAGTTAGAAGTATTATTATTAGCAAACACTAATTTAACATTATGTTATATGCAATATAAATTTAATCCTTATAATAACCTTATAAGGTACATACTACTTTTATTCTCATTTTACAGATAAGGAAACCAACACAGAGAAGGGTTAACTTGGCCACAATCTCACAGCTGGTAAGGGGTGGAGTTGAGATTCTAACCCAGCCATCCAGTTCCAAAGTCTGTGTTCTGTGGCCTTTATTAAACAACTGCAGCAACTTCCACTTGTTGGCTACACTGGACTATCTTTTTATATGCACTATCTCACAGGTTCTTTATAACCATATCAGTTACGCACTGTTAACACTCTGCTTATATTCGAGGAATTGGAAGCTTTGAGAATTTAAAGATGTTCTACCACAGCAAATAAATGAGAGAAGCAGGAGTCAAAGCCATTTCTGAACCACTCTGCTTTCTTTACAACTAATCTCCTCCAGCCTGGTCCTATGGGACAAGCCTATAGTTGTGTTCCAGTAAGATTGCATCCTGGTAGGGCTCCTAAGTCCTCATGGAAGACAAAGAGCATTAATCTTTACTCCCAGAGCTCAGGCTCCATAAGCTTCCTAGCTTGTCACTCTCAAGCTTTTAAAGATAATGATTTCCATTTCAAGGTTTTATGTGAATTTGCATTATGCACATATGTTGAATTTCAAAATTATACAAATTCATATTATTGATGAAGACCTTGCTTTCTTTCCATAAGGGGCTCGATTTGATGAGAGTGATACAGTATTTGGAAAGCATCGTATGGAAGTGGAAAAATTTAGAATCAAAGCTCAGTGTAAGCCCATTCTGCCACTTTAGGCAAATGATTCCACCTCTCTTCATTAGTAACCAATGCCTGCTTGCCCTAACACCCAGGGCTACTGGATAGAACAAACGTGATAATGCATGAATTATGCATGGATATGCACTTCCTATAATGGAAAGAGCCATGTACAAATAAATAAGCTAAAAGTCCTTATCCTTTAGTAATTGTGTTTTGTTTCATGATACTCACTTTCACTCCACATACTCTTTTAGCCTTAAGTCTCCAGTCATACTGAGCTACGAAGCTATGAATCACAGAACATGAAAACAAGGGCAAACTAATACGCTTCAACTTTCTTTGGGGTATCTTTCCACAAAGACAGAAGCTGGAGGTCTTTTAAATTTGGTCAACTGTTCCTATAGAAACAAGAAAGGGAAACTCAGAAGAATGATTTTTGACTATGTCATCATTTCCAGTTAATCTTTCTCTTCCCTGAAATACACCCACCTCCTACAATCCTCTTGCTAGAGGGAGCTACAAGTCCTAGATTTAAAAGGGAGCACTTTTACATAAACTGCCCTAATAATGTTTTATAAAGTGGATTTTAGAACCTTAAAGAGGGGTTCAAAAGAGAGTCATAGGTTTTGTTTCTAAGCCAAAGGGACACATTTTTCATTCCAAACAAAAGTCAATCAGAAATACTCCCACCTATTTAAGGTGCACGTCCCAGTCCCATCTGCACTTATACGATATTTTAAAAAATTAATTTAAAATAAAATGTGACTGGCTGTATTGATTCTGAGAACCTGTAAGTTCATTCTGATTCAGACCTTAACTCTAGGATTTTATAGTCCAAGAGTATCTGTATTGTCAGACATGAAAGAAAACAATTGCAGAAAACAAGGAAGGAAAGGGAGAAAGGGCATCTCCTAACAAGAAATCTTTCTATTCGAATGGGATAGGAACTACTCTGTTCGAGCAAGGAAGGCTGTCTGGGGTAAGGACCTAACAAAGTAACCCCCTTTGCCCTCCACCCCCCCACACACACAGTCTATCTGCCTATCTGCCTTCCCATCTCCAGCTGGCCTCAGCCAGTTATCCTGTGTAGACTCTCAGCCTGCAAGGCCCATATCAAATGCTGCCTCCTCCATTAAGCCTCTCCAGATCCCCTCAATAACCTTCTGCAGCCTCTCCTGGGAAAGCCCTAACTTTTGCTTTGATATTTCATCGCTATGGCCTTGGGCACTCAGGTTTGCCCTTTCTAGGCTTAAAGAAGGTTCAGTGGCTACAGGGACAAAACTATATGAAAGTTTTCCGCATAGTGCCTTATGTATAGCAGGCACTTTATATGAGGATTGAGATGAATAAAATTTATCACTCAGAATTACTGAGATAACCCTGATTTTTCAAAAAGACAAAGACTCACTTCAAAGTTCTAACAAGGCTACTACCAGGGGAAAAAAAACTATCTCTTTAAAAAGAGACATTTTTTCTGGATATAACAATGTTATTTATTTGTTTGTTTACTATTATTCAAAGTTTCCTCATCTGAGATTACTACAAATTGGGAGAGTCAGAAACCCAGAAGTCCGAAACAACAACATACCCCAGTTGAATGTTTTCCTAAGTTTTAAAAGCCACAAGAGTGGCTCCTAACAGCCACACAGTTTGGGGAAATAGGAAGGGATTTCCTTAGTAGAAGCAGGAAGTATAAAAGGAAAAAAAAAAAGAAGTGAAAGTCTGAGCTGAAGGCATGGGCAAGCGAGGCTTTGGGGACAAATAGAAAGGTTAAGCTGGAACAAATCCAAAGGCCCCAACTAAAGGAAGTAGGGAATCCATATGCAGCAGAGAGATGCTCCTCAGCTGCCTTGGGTGAGAGTCTGGAAGTTGGCATGTCCTGAGAGAGGATGAGGTGGTCAGAGGTTGAGGGACAGTGCAAGAGTTAGAGTCCATTAATTCAGTTTAAACATTCAGTAAGATTCTACCTGCTTTATTATCAACACCCCAAACTTCTATATTCCTGTCAGTGTCTGAAAAAGAAGTCTGGGCTAAGAGGCTGTATCTTGTGATTTATGTGAGTTTTGAACTATGATTGTTTCAAGAAGAAAGGAAGCTGGGATGAAGCTCCATGATATATCTTGCTGGAACTCTTCCCCAGAAACACTTAACCTCTCCTCACTTTTCTGCCCTTGAGGGGCAAGGCCAGGCTGTGATCATCTTCTCAAATAATGTGGGCAGAGGCAAGGAGATTAAAATGGACTGTCCCACGGTTGAGAAAATAGGATCAAGAAAAGAAAATCTGAGAATAATAGGAGTGCTTTAGGGAGAAGAGCATTGCTGAGAAGAAAGAAACCTAGAGCTCCCAAGAAAATGAAAGGGAAAACTCTACCAAGTGGAAACTAAACCTAGTTATTAAGTTTTATGCCCACATAAGAACTTGATGTGATTGTGAAACCATGTATGTGTGGAACGGGAAGGAGCCAGAAGCCTTTCCAGAACAGAAAGTTGTGCAAAGTTTTATTGCTAGGAGATCGCTTTTGGTTTTGGGCTATTCATATTTATCATTATTTATTGGAAATAAATTTCTTCTGGTTCTTGCATTACCTCTAAAGAAAGCCCAAGGAGACCTCTACATCTTGTTACTGTTGGCCTATGGCATAGACACAAACTAGGAAAGCTGGTCCTCCACCAGGGCGGCTGAGCCTTGCTGGAAGGGAGGTTCAGCGGAAAGACCTCCAGAGGAGGAGGGGTCGGTACCTCGTCGCTTAGGTTGACCTCGTAACAAATAGTTAAGTGGGTGTGGGCAAGTCACTAAGCTTTCCTAGTACTGTTTCCGCATGTGTAAAGTGGCAGTGTAGTCCAGCTCGGAAACTGTACACTTCCGAGCTTTCCCTAGGCAGCGTGTGGGAAAGCTCAGCACCTCAGCCGTTCTGGCGTGGCCGGGGTCGTAACCCACACTTACTAGGCAAACTGTCAGATGGAAGACGAGGCGGCTCCCGTTCAGCAGCCGCCCTCCCATCCTCCGGGGCCGTCAGACCCGAGAGGGCGCGCGAAGGAAGCATCCCACAGGTGGGTAAAGGCTCCGCGCGAAGGGCTCCAGCCGTTCTATTTCTCTGTGACGCCCGCCGCGGCTGGTTCCAGAAGCGGCCAGCGCGGCCGTTGACG